TGCCGCCACCCAGGGCTACCAGCTGGGAGACGGGCCACGACTGGCACTGGGAGCCTCTGGTCCTGTGCAAAAGCCGGGCAGGGAGGTGGCTGGGAGTCCCGCCCCCGCCCCACCCGGCTTTTGCGCACAACCACAGGGCTCCCAAAGCCAATCGCGCTCCTCCTCCCAGCCGCTCCCCAGCCCCCAGGCTTCCCTCCAGCACCCAGCCGGAGCCAACCAAAAAAAAAAACCCCACCAGGAACATTTTTGTTGAGCAAAATCCAGTTGTGACCCCTTTAATTAGTCAGCCAATCTCCCCGCCCCGGCTTATTTCTGCTGGGCTCACAACACTCCTGTTAATGCACCCCAGAAATAGATTTGCTTTTTTGGCAACAGTGTTATACCACTGACTCCTATTTAGCTTGTGGCCCACTCTGACCCCTAGATCCCTTTCTGCAGTGCTCCTTCCATGGAGAATCTTCCCTCTTCTTTCTCCTAGCTGTGGGCCCCTTGGATTCAGGTGTGAAGTGAGTTTGTGGGGCAGCATCGGGAAAAGCGTGAACTAGAGCTAACTGCTGCCTTTTTTCTATGCATAGAGAAGGCTTTTGTCCTCAGGGTGTCAAACCGGCGCTTTCACCGGCACGAAGTTTGCTTATCACGCAATCAAAATAAAAAGGGGCGACATGACAAAAAGCGTCAGAAGTCAAGCTACTGAAGTTACTTGTTAAAACAAATGCAGACCCCAGTGCAAACATTGGTCCTGTTTCCTGAGAGAACACTACCACCGACCCCGCCCTGGCGCTTTCCTGGGCCAGATCGAACCAGGCTCACCTCCAGGATTGTTTCAAATCGGCTGAAGAGCTCCACCGACGCAAGGATCTCCCCAATGGTTTTCTGCAAGCAGAGATCAAAGGAAAAGAATGGGCGGGATGCAAGGGAGGTCCAAGCAGGAACATGCAGCTTGTGCGCTAGGGAAGTCACAAAATACTGTCGTTCCCGCTATTTTGTTTAAATCCCCTACAACTGGTTGACCCAACAGCCACCCAGCCTGATGTAGTTTAGACTGGAGATTCACTCCTACCCATGCCGGTCTTCAGAGGCATCCTGCCCTCGCGGCGCCCGCAGCTTTCCGTGCGCAACTTGCCTTTGGCAGACGGGCCACAGCAGACTCTATGTATGCTGGTGAGCTCTGCACAGATTGAGCCATAGGCTTTTAGCTCTCCAAAATCAGCTCTGTTCTGGTATGCAGGCTATGAGCAGCTGCCCAAGAGAAACCTGCTTGCCGGGATTTTGAGAATGAAATCCCTCCCCACTACCCGCCAAGGAGAACAGAGAAGACCTAGCGCGGGGGAGAGAAATGAGATGTGTTCACCCACCGGAAAATGTGGAGAAAAAACGGTGCCCTTTGTTTTGGGAGAGGCGTCTGTAGAGACACGTCTTTTGGGTTGATAACAGTTATAAGTGCTTACAAAATTTCAGACTGAAAGGACGGTGTGCAAGGAAAAAGATAACCAAGAGATGGTTCTGGGCTTGTCCAGCACCTAGAATAAGGGGTCATGACTGGGGCTCCCATGTTCTGCAGTAGTATAACAAAAAAAATAACTGGCAGCCTCCCCCCCCACTCCAGGAGTGTTCCTTTCATGGGATCACTGCCCTGTGAAAGTTCCTGGAAGCAGCATGCTGGTCAGCAGAAAGCGCTGCCCAACCAGCACTCTGGGCTGATACAAGCGTGTTTCCAGAGATAAGGCTGCAGAAAATAACTCGTGTCATCAATATTCTCCATGGCACAACGCCCCAATGGGAAGGAAGCGTCCGAACGAGCTTGGAAAAAACATATGCAGAGCAAGTTCCCTGACACTGCCCTTTCTCAAGGTTCCTCGCCTGACGTGTGCGGATGAAAACCCCCTCTCCTTTCGAAACACGGTTCTTGCTTCATCTCCGCTTGAACGGACACCCCGATCCTGCCCCTCTCCAGGTTCCATCAAGCATGTTGGTGCTCCTGGGGTTGGCACGATAGTTTTATCTGGGTAGCTCTATGTGCTGGGTTAGCCCAGCTATCAGGTTAACTGCCCCGCTGGTACAGAGCTATCATGAATCTATCCATATAATTAGGAACATACAACATGTTTATTCCATAAGGCAGCTGAGCACTGGTTCATGTAAGTCTCCCTTCAGCCCTCACTAACTGCAGTGGGTGTTGGATTGGGCTAAAAGGCTCTTAGTATGTCCCCTTTAAACTCTGCTATGGTGCATTAGAAAATGAACACAAGTAGATATGATCTTAAGTAGTTTAAGATCTTAAACGTCAATGAAAGAGACGACAGATCCGATATACAGCCACGGGGCCGCTCTACAATTGCTGCGTTCCAGTGAGTGAGCTGAAAGTAAGATATTTGCGCATAACTGGTTTCTAGGCCAGCCACTGCGTAAAATAGAGTCGTGATTCTGCACCTTATTTGAATCTTTTACATCTGTGCAAACGGAGCACTGGTTGCTACCCAAAACACTAGCAAAGCAGAGTGGCAGCCTTTTACTTCTAGATGGCGAGGATGTAAATGGGTACACAAGGTGCAGGGCAGTGAAGAATCCCGCTCTTTATCTGTGCACACAGTTTGAACACACACAGTGGCTGCAACAAAAACACCATGCCCAACTAGGGGGGCAAAAGTCTGTGGCAGAACTAAGACTAGAACCCAGAACTCTAGAAACTCAGTCCAAAACCTGAAGCAAGGGACAGCCCTTCCTTACAAGAGTGGCCTCAAAATACAAACATCGACACGTGCATTATTTCTCTTGTGGAGGGCGGGGCACCGTGCAAACATGGCCGGTTACAAAATTCAGTCTGATAGGAAAGGGAAATGCGATGGGATAGAACTGCTCCTTATGGGAAAACAAAAATCTTCGTTTGACATTTGTTTGAAAAACTTGCACTCATTTTGCATGACTCGGCCTCTCTCCTATTACAATGCCTGGCTCCTCCATTATTAGGGAGCAATCTGTGTGTGTGTCACTGCTGCAGTTCAAATTCTCTGGTTATACAAATGCCAGCACAACCCTCACTTGAGACAGCAACCGGCACTTGGAGTCGCTTCTTAACAGTGCTCTAAAACGGAGTGAAATAGAAAACAAAACATATAGGTTGGACCTCCCTGGTCCGGCACCCCTGGGGCCAGACTGGACCCAGATCAGGGGTTTTTCCAGATTAGGGGAGGTCATTTTAGGCCCCCTGCTGCCAGTCTCCCCTTGCTGCCCTCCCCCACCAGGCTTCCTAGCTCTCCTCGCAGCTAAGCCAAGTGCTGGCTCCAGCTGCCTCCCCACGGATGTCGCTGGACCAGAAAATCCTGGATTATAGAGGCGTAACCTGTATGACATTATACTGCTTCTTCCTGACTTACGAACCGGTTACGGACCAAGCAATTGATCGTAACTCGGTTTTTTCGTAAGTCGGACTCCATAGAGTTGCACACGACCGCGCTGTTTGTAAGCACGGATCGAGTTCGTAACTCAGGGGCCGCCATTTACGACAGCTTTGGTTGTAAATGAGAACGGTCATAAGTCGACCGTTCGCAACTCGGGGACCGGCTGTACATGAAACAAATGCATCATCGATTCCAAAAGATCAACCTTCCGATTAGATTTCTATAAACTGTTTCCCATCATATCTTCCAACAGACAGAAGACAAAGGAACGCTCACCATACCTTCGGATTTCCAGGGCTGTGAAAGGTGTCTGTTCGCCGTAGAGCGCTAACGACATGTATAATTCCATTGGATGCTGGGATGTTTGCCTGAAGGATGGAATATGATTCGTTTGGCAGGTCCAGATACTTGTAGCTCTTGATGGAGTGCTGGGATAATAATACAGGGTTATTTCATTATGAAAAACATACCAAAGGGATGAGAATGTATCTGAAAAAACTTCATTTGATTTGGTTAAAATAAAATATGGAGATATTCCTCTCATAGAACTGGAAGGGACCTTGAGAGGTCATTTAGTGTAGTCACCTGTCCCCACAGCAGGATCAAGTACCAGCCCTGACAGATTTGCCCCATATCCCTAAACAGTCCCCTCAAGGGATTGAACTCACAACCCTGCGCTTAGCAGGCCAATGCTCAAACCACTGAGCTATCCCTGCCCACTGAGGGGCCCTGTTTCAGTGTAACAATAGGGCCAGGAGTTCACCTGTGGTTCTAAGGGCAAAGATACACAGAGATCATATTATAGAGACCGGTCCAGGCTGTAATGCAAGGACACAGTCTCTGAGGTGGGGGTGTTTGGATGGCGAGCTCTGGGTAAGCCCCATCACCAAGCCATTACATTCAGAATTAGACTTGCCCCAGTTTAGACCAGAGCTCTGGCCTGGGCCCAATGCCAGATCATGCCAGGATGAGTTCATGCTGTAGCCTGAATGGCCCACACACGAGGAGGGACTCCATGCCTGCTTGCATGTTTCTGGGCATCGGGGCAGCAGGATCTAGGGGCTCCCTTGCAGCATGAGACTTGGCTGTCACCTTCATTTGGCCCAGGTGCTAGAGAAAGGTCCCTACCAACAACTGCTACTGGTGTGTGTTCATTCTACCAACAATGCCACCGAGCACAAAGCACAACTCAGCGCTCCAGGGCTATTCAGAAATGTCTGGCACCTGCAGGCCCTCCTGCGTTGTTCAATGTACGCTGCATTTCTTGAAAAAAAGGATCCTTCCAGCCCTGACCTCCGGCTCACACCGCTGAGAGCTAAGGAAGAGGAAGGGCAGACTTCCTAGATCAAAGACTGCTGAGCACACAAAAAAGGATCCTTGAAAAGCACCAAACCCACAGCCCCCAACGCCGCGTCGCCCGCCTGTGCGTTCCGCGTGTCTCAAAGCCCAAACGCCAAGGTCAAGGCTGGGAAACGTGGAGAGGAAACGCGCGAATGTCCCTTGGCCAACTGCACAGGGCCACGGGGCGAAAGTGCAGGATGAAGCAGACAATAGATAGCGGCAAATGTGAGCCCAACAGCCCTCCCCCAATCCCAGATGCGAGAGCAGAATCATCCATATCTATTCTGCACAATGAAAAAGAGGGATGGGAACGGAAAACATTCAGCTTGTGTCAGCGACCAGCCCGCAAGTATTCTGAGGGCAGATTGCTGCTCTCACCAGCAAGGACATGCTGGATTCGGTGCTGATACCGGGGGAAAGCAATTCTTTTACCAAAGATAACAAAAAGCCAACACTGACTATTTTCAAGATTAGGAGCCAGATTTTGGCCTTTCCTTCTGCCTCTTTATGGCAGCCTAGCAGTGCACAGGAACAATCAGGGGGAAGATAGCTGCCCCGAGGGAATGCACAGCTGGAGGATGTGCTACTTACAGTTTCTTGCTGGGAGCCAGGAGGGTGAGAGACTAGAGAAATTCTGGGCTGTGCAAAATTTGCCTGTAGGCAGCAGGACTGGTTCCCTGTTGGCCTCTGGTGTTGTTCTGACTGATGCTGAAAGACACTTTCCCCCCTCTGCCTAGGTAGGCCTCTCCTGGGCTTGCCAGGAGCACACCACAGGCTGTGGGGCTAGGGGTGGTGTTAGGACCTGTTATAACCTAGAACCAGGCAGGCTGCAGTTTCCTGCTATCGGATACAAAACTGGTGAGACCACCTCTGCTGGACACTACACTGTTCTAGGCATCTCAGATTCAAGGACAAGAGAGAGAGAGAGAGAAAGAGAGAAGCTGGAGAGAAAAAGCAGCAAAAATCATCGCGGCACCATTGGGGTACACTTACAAGGGAGGATTAAGAGAATTAAATACGAAAATGTGGCCAATAGCAAATAAGGGGAAGTCCCTTTTTCAGGCATGAAAAGTGTCTGAAGGGGAGGAGCTAAGGAGGCTGAAACCAACTCCAAGCCCCGTGGCAGAACAGTCAATGGGTGCGGGCACGCACGCACACACACATGCACGTGTCGTGCTGATGCGGGTGCAGTCCCCCCCAACATTGGAGTACTCAATGCACCTGCATTGGCTGCTGGGTGCGCTTTTCTGGCATGACCAGGGCTTCTCCACGTGTCCATCTGGTGAGGTTGCCAACTGTCTAATGGGGCAAATCCAAAGACACTCACCATGCCTGCCGCCCCTTCCCTGAGGCCCCACCCACACTCACTCCATCCCCCCTTCCCCTCACCTCCCCCCCAGTGCTTGCTCTCCACCACCCTACTTGCTTTCACCGGGCTGAGACAGGAGTTGGGATGTAGGGTGCAGGCTCTGGGAAGGAGTTTGGGTGTGGGCGCTAGGTGAGGGAGTTGGGGTGCTGGTTGTGGGAGGGAGTTTGGGGTGCAGGCTCTGGGCTGGGACAAGAGGTTGGGACTCCGGAATGCAGCAGGGAATTGGGGTGCAGGAGACAGTTGGGAGTGGCACTTATCTTGGGTGGCTCTCAAAAGGGACTGGCATACCCCTCTAGCAGTAGCTCCTAGGTGAGGGGGGCAGGGAATCTCTGCATACTAGTGCCCACAGGCACTGCCCCTGCAGCTCCTATTGGCCACAGTTCCCAGCCAATGGGAGCTGCAAAGTCAATGCTGGAGCAGCACATGGAAATAGTGCTGGCTGCTTCTGGAACCGGCATGGACCAAGGACAGCAGCAAGCCTGCCTTAGTCCCACTGTGCTGCCAGGCCCTTTTAATTCACCCAGGCTCTGGACACTTGCCCCCTTTGATCCACTTTGTCGGCTGGCTTGGTGTCAGGGATACAGCTTTAGGCCCAGTATAACGTGAAAACCACCCTCTGGTACCCAGTAATGCTGACACGATACCTTTGTTGCACTATTAAATGTCAGTTGATGCCCGGACAACGTCCACAGTGTCTTGATCTTGATCAAATCGTCCACCAAATGCTGACCCGGGATTATGTGCATTTTGCATAAATGCTGAGCAGTTGTCTCCTTTATGGAAATAAATCAAAACACAGAGAGAACTGAGATGCCTTCCCCCAAAGCAAATGCGTTTCTCTCATTTCACTTACCTGTATTTTCCATCAAAAAATACTTTATAAAGTTCCAGATCAGAAAGCAGACATTTCCTATTTATATGCAAATCGGTGCTCATCCACACAGAGTCATTCTAGAATAGAATTTACCTCCACATGCTGATGCTCTTATTCCAGATCAGTGCCATATCCTGAAACTATTTGTAACCACACACGGATTGAATTGGGAATCCTTTTGAAAATGCACACACTAGTTTAGCCAAATTAACTTTCACATGTAGACGAGCCCTCAGAAGCTTTACATAGGAGCAGTGGAGCATTTTCATAGGTTCATGTATTTTAAGCTCAGAAGGGTGCTCCAGTCTGACTTTGTGCATAACATGGGCCAAAAACTCTAAGGCTACCAGAAGTATCCCGAAATAGCTATTCTGCATCTTTAAATGCATGCATTATTTCAAAATATATTTCGAAATAACAGGTGCACTATTCCAGTGTCCCTGTAAACCTCATTCCATGAGGATTAAAGGAATCGACGGAATAGCACCTTATTTTGAAATTACCTCCAAATAAGCTACGCAATTTGTATGGCGCATTTGCAAATTGCGTAGCTTATTTCGAAGAAAGGGTGCTGGGTAGACACACCCCAAGCCAATAATTCCTGAAACAAGCCAATAACGTCTGCTTGAAGCTATTTGTATGTGCATGAGCAAGAATGAGAATGATTCAAAGGGATGATCTAGAGAGAAACCTTATTGGCTTTGGACATGTTATCAGACAGCTCCTTCCTCCAGATTCCACCTCCCATATCTCACAAGGCCTCAGTCCTCATGTAAATTATTTTTGCTTACACTGGGCTATGTGCTACCAAACTCTTTGGAACACAGCTCCTCACTGATTTCAAAGAAAACGTCTGCACCCCAATATGTGGTACAATGGGGACCACACTGTTTGATGAAGGACTAGCGAAGTGCATTAGCCATTCGGTTTCCCTGTTTGCCTGGTTATTTTTATTAAGTTCTGTGTGTAGGTATCACACTGCTGACACAATTTAACAAGGCAGTTGGAGTATTTTTAAGGGTACTGCCTCCTTGATTCAGAGTGCTTGGAGGTCAGCAGCTCTGAGATGCAAAGCAAGCGGAAAGCTGGCTGGGGCGGGTTTAAATGCCTGCTGAAGAACTAGCAAGTGCACCCCTTGCCTGACGTTCGTTAGTTTTCTCCATTCTGCAGGGGAAATGGGGCACAACAAGCATTTCTATCTGCTTTATAGTTGGTTGGGTTGCATTTGTGACCACTGTCCAAATGAATATCATTTAATAAATCAGAGAGATTTGCATGGTCTACTACAGCACAGGACCAAGGATCAGGGAAGTCCTGAGCTCTCAGTGTGGAGCTGATCCTCATCACTTGGAGCAAGTCACTACCTTGGCGTCTCCCTCAGTAAAATGAGTATCTTGCTAAGATCTTGCCCCAAAATGCAAAACCCAGATGTAGGTAACAAATATTCCACAGTCTGGAGTTTTGGGTGCAGTTTTGATTCAACCTCTTGTCTGTACAAGAGACATTTGCAACATTCAGATCTGGGTTGGGATTTTGAATCCCCCGTGAAGTTCGGCTCCAATGCTCCCTCTAATCTTTTCCATCCCTGTGCAGAATAATTTTATGTGCACTGCAGCATGTGCACCACCAGTAGCAACACATGCTGGTGGCTATGGGCACTCTGCTATTCAGAAGGGCAGCACTGGACTCTCTCAAGTGGCCGTACAAATGCTCAGCTTACAGGGAACACAGGAGTCAAGACAATACTGGATTCAACATTGATCAACAATACTCACGTCACGGGCTGAGAAGCCATTTACATTTTTAGAGATGCTTTACTGAGGGATTTTCAAAAGCATTCAGTCGTGGTTAATGGAAGGCGTTCGTGCTTTGCTGAGTGCTTTGGAATATCCACGACATGCCAGGTGTACAAAGTGCTAAGAATTACCAGTGTCCCACGCAGACGATCAGCATTTTAAACAGATTAGAGTGTGCAAAAGCCAATAGATTCAAAACCATGTGCACTGAGCAATGTCGTTATTCCTATAGAAAGGAGGGAGGTTGACATTTGCAAAGCAATGCAGGGGATTAGCATCTCCCATTACAATTCACCTCAGCCAGAGTCTGAATTGTATCTTGGTGGTTCCCTACATACAGCACATTGCAAAGCTGCTCTCCGATGAGCAACGCTTTGTAGGCTACTCAAAGCGTGAAGAAGTAAGGTTACCAAACAGGGGAGGCACTTACATTGAAGTCCAGTCTTGGAAAAATGAATCGAATGCTTGGCGCAAGGACGGTGAAAGGCCCATATTTTGTCAGTGACAAAGAACACCCTGAAGCTGTTAAAAAAAACAACCCGCCCCCCAAAAAAAAACAGTTACTAAGCATACGGAATAATGTAAGTGACCAGTTTTATTATTCCTCTTGTTGTGGTAGGGGGTTGGGTTAACCCTTCCTTGGCTCTTTAGCTTCAAGTGAGTGGCCAGAGTGAATTTATGGAGAACTGGATGGATCAGGGGATTGGAGGTGGGATATTACAACTCTCGCGTGGCAGTTAATGGTTTTATCCAAAGACTGTTTAAGTCTTTCTGTTACCTGCAATGGGTGTCAGATCAAGACCTAACTTTGCAGGACAGGTTAAATACGTATAACTTTCTTGGTCTCTGCACAATGAGGAGCCACTTCTAGGTCCAGACAGACTTGATTGTGTGAATGTGTTAAAGGCCTGATCCAAAACCCAGTGGAGTTGATGAGAGTTTTTCTGCTGACTCCAGTGGGCTTTGGATCAGCATCCAAGTGCCCAACTGCACAAATTGTTTCTACAAAAATCAGCTCTTGCTGGGTTAGAGCCTAACTGTGCAACCTGCACATAGTGTTAGCACAAAAAGGGGAACCTTTCGCCTCTGCGGAGCGAGCTCCAATCCAGCCTGCTGTGCAATGGTGGTTTGGTGGCCTATGTGAGCTCAAGGAAGCGGATCTCCATGGTTCTTCGTGGACCAGTATCCCCAGCACAAACCCCTCTGTCATTGGGAGAGCCATTTTTGGACATCCCAGTGAAGAGCCCAAAGGATGAAGTAATAATGACCCTCAAAGATGTCCCTGGCTGGTTGAGGCACATTGATGGACTGAGGTAGCGAAGCTTGAAGCTTATATGCCATCAAGGACTATGCTTCGCATGTTTGTGGCTAGAGAACCTCTGATCCCGGTGCTATCAATCAGCCCAAACACCTACTGCATGGGGGTTTATTAAACTGCACAGAGCTGGCCAGAGCCCAGCCATGCTGGAAGAGCTCAGCTGTAGCTTCCTCCACACTCCCTCATCACATTAAACTTCTCAGCTTTCTTCTGGACCTCAACCATTCCTTGCACTGCCTGAGCGGTCTCTTAGCTCCGTTCCCCAAAATCACTCAGAAGAGCATTACCAAACATTGTGTGTGTATAGTTGAGATTCCTGTACCATCTTCCGCGAACATTCAGCTGAAAGAGCTCACTCATGAGATTTTTGTAGCAACTTCTTCCATCTCCAATCTCCCCTTCTTTGCAGACACAGCTGAAGGGCAAGGTAAGAGTGAGAAACAACAGTCATTACAAAAACGGTTCTTGACATGCTTAAGTCTGAATGTGAGCTGTTCATAGAGACTAGACACTGACTACACACTACTCCGTTAAAAAGCCTAAATAACGATCAGGGAGAAACACCACAGGAGACAGAGAAATTGATGAGACTGTATAATCAAATCCATCCTCTATAGATTTAGTGGCCCAATGACACAACGTTGCAATATTTTGTAACTCAGGATACTATCTGGGAACTGCACATGAAGCAAGATTCTCATTATACCGAGAACATAAAATACTCGGTTTTAAAAAAGGGAGTATCTGATATTAACCGGGCATTTCATAATGACGGACAGAAAGGATGGGCTCACCAGTGTAAATAAATCTACGCTCTGGTGCACCAAATGAGAAGCGGAGAGTCAGTTCCAAAGCTGAGTACCCTTCAAGGAGAACGCACCCTACTTGCAGCTCCTTGTTGAAATTCAGAAGAGAGTCGCTCCTGATCACACCTTGGGCAGGAACACACCAGGGAGAGGTGGGTTCTTCCCTTGCCCAGAACCCAGACCATTACACATTTACAAGTGAAAACCAACCACCTAAACTCCACCTCAAAGCTTACAGGCAACCAGTGCAAGTTAGAAAGCTCTGAGGTGCTTTTGGTGAGGCCTTGACTATATATGACTGCATTTATTTGCCAGGGTGAAATAAAACTAGACACACCCTCTCACTGAAATATTGACATCCGGCACCAGTCAGGTCCCGAGGGTGCTGGACTAGAGGGGCCAAACCTAGAAGGCATTGTGTTTTCCAACAACAGCGCAACTGCCCTGGCAGTAGCAGTAACACAAGAATTAACGGAGATGGGGCCTTTTAAGCACCATGCCAAGAAGAGCACGTTGATGCACTGAGACATCCTGGTTAATGAGCAAGTGAAAAGGGCAACTAAAATGATTAGGGGTTTGGAACGGGTCCCATATGAAGAGAGGCTAAAGCGACTGGGACTTTTCAATTTAGAAAAGAGGAGACCGAGGGGGGATATGATAGAGGTCTATAAAATCATGAGTGGTGTGGAGAGGGTGAATAAAAGAAAAATTATTAGTTCCCATAATAGAAGAACTAGAGGACACCAAATGAAATTAATGGGTAGCAGGTTTAAAACTAATAAAAGAAAGTTCTTCTTCATACAGCGCATAGTCAACCTGTGGAACTCCTTGCCAGAGGAGGCTGTGAAGGCTGGGACTATAACAGAGTTTAAAGATAAGCTAGATAATGTCGTGGAGCTTAGGTCCATAAAAGGCTAATAGCCAGGGGGTAGGAATGGTGTCCCTGGCCTCTGTTTGTCAGAGGCTGGAGAGGGATGGCAGGAGACAAATCGCTTGATCATTGTCTTCAGTCCACCCCCTCTGGGGCACCTGGTGCTGGCCACTGTCGGCAGACAGGCTACTGGGCTAGATGAACCTTTGGTCTGACCCAGTACGGCCGTTCTTATGTTCTTATGTAAATGGCCTCCTTATGCACTAGCTTGTTTCCAGAGATCCCCCGGGTGTCGTTCACATGGAGCGTGTGTGACAATAGCCTCGCCTCGCAGCACGCAACAGCCGCAAAGTCAGCAGCAGAGAGATCAAGTCACACCCCTCGCCCCAGGCACATGAAGCCCTCTCGGCCCCCGTGACAGGCAGATGTGAACAGCCACAGCGGCCCGGGGACCTTGGCTTTACAGCTCTTCCAAAAGGAGCGGCCCTTTGCAGTGAGCTGCAGCAGGAGGTTGAGGACTGACCCAGGAGGAGGAACCAACCAGAGAACTTCCTGATGGCCTGCGATTCCCTTTGGCGTGTCCCATTCCTGCCCAAGGCCTCTCTGTTGAGCGATTCTGTCTGAGCGCTCGAGGCCCTGCCTCACGCCCAAGACACCGGCACTGGTCTAGGGAATGGGCTTTCTATGGCTGTGTCCCGGAGCCTTCCACGTCTCCTCAGCTGGATGGATTTCAGCGCCGCGGGACCGTACGCCCGGCCCACTCCTTCAGGCGCTGGGCCCGGGCATACGAGGCCCCCTGGTCTTGC